CAACCCAATGAAATTATTCATTAATGAATTTAAAACTTAGACTTTTTGCTTTTAAATCTACAATTTTTAATACATGTATCAGTCTACTGGTACAAATGATTCCTTCTGTTACCTGGGACTGATCATTACTGCTGGGTATCTGTCCACTACTGCTGGGTATCTGTCCACTACTGCTGGGTATCTGTCCACTACTGCTGGACATATGTCCAATACTGCTGGGTATCTGTGCAATACTGCTGGACATCTGTCCAATACTGCTGGGTATTTGTCCACTACTGCTGGACATCTGTCCAATACTGCTGGGTATCTGTCCAGTACTGCTGGGCATCTGTCCAAAACTGTTAGGTATCTGTCCAGTACTGCTGCCTGAAGGTGTCTGTTCTGGTGTGTCCCTCTCCTGTGTGGATGGTGTCACCGATTCAACCTTAAATAATCAAAACATATATAAAATACATTTACACACTTGAACTAAGGGATTTAACTGATTCCTATATAGTATATACGAGTGTGCAAAATGACAATTGTTCCACAAATCTACATTAATTATACTTACCCTAGTCATGTCACTATAAAGGTTTTACCTTGATCAGACCAAGTTAAAGAGATCACCAACATATAACAAGAGGCCCATAAGCCTTATAGGCCATCTGAGTATCAAGTAACAACTTTTGATCCAATAATTAAATTTTGTTCATGTTTTAAACCAGACACCATGAAATTTTATTTCATCATAAGCAGTTGATTAATATGAAAGAGCTGCTTTCAAAGCATTAATTTATTTCAGACTACAAAACCCTCCATCCCCAGTACCCCTGACTCAGGGGTCCTAAAATAAATTATTGGAATGTAAAATGGGTTGGCAAATGATCAAATCTTCAATAAAGCCCTTTGGGCTTCATGGGATTTTTATCACGTGACCAACCCGTTTTATATTCCAATAAAACTTAAAAAAAAAACCTTATTTCTTAAATATTAACTTTTTAAACAATATTACATGTACCTGGGACTGACCACTACTGCTGGGTATCTGTCCAATACTGCTGGGTATCTGTCCAATACTGCTGGGTATCTGTCCAATACTGCTGGGTATCTGTCCAATACTGCTGGGTATCTGTCTAATACTGCTGGGTATCTGACCACTACTGCTGGGTATCTGTCCACTACTGCTGGGTATCTGACCACTACTGCTGGGTATCTGACCACTACTGCTGGGTATCTGTCCACTACTGCTGGGTATCTGTCCACTACTGCTGGGTATCTGTGCAATACTGCTGGGTATCTGTGCAATACTGCTGGGTATCTGTCCAATACTGCTAGGTATCTGTCCACTACTGCTTGGTATCTGTGCAATACTGCTGGGTATCTGTGCAATACTGCTGGGTATCTGTCCAATACTGCTAGGTATCTGTCCACTACTGCTGGGTATCTGTCCAATACTGCTGGGTATCTGTCCAATACTGCTGGGTATCTGTCCAGTACTGCTGCCTGAAGGTGTCTGTTCTGGTGTGTCCCTTTCCTGTGTGGATGGTGTCACTGATTCAACCTTTTAAAAATAGTTTTAAAACTAGAAACTCTTGTTGCTATAGCAACAAAAAAGGTCTTCCGTCCTCCTCTATTTATCTGACAGTGTATGAATGAGCTTTTATCTATGTTAAAAAGGCAGATAATATTTACAATGATTACAGGAAAACAAACGGCCGGAGGTATAACTCACTAAAATTCTTGATGTTACTTTAGACAGTTTAAAGTCTTAATAACATTCATAAAAAATCATTTTCAATTTTTTAGCACTTCCTGTGATGACTGGACTGGAAGTGACAGAGGACGCATTTTACCCTATATCTATTACCCAATCTTCACAAGTTTAGTGCCTTGGTCTGTTACATTTTAAGAAATCTCGTAATGTTAACTTCTCGTTTTGAGGACAAGAAATCACGTGACCGCAAGTAAATTTTAAAAAAGATATTTTACGTTACTTTAGACTTTTGCAGTCTGAATAACATGTCCTAAAATCATTTCAAATACTCTTTTTATAAAAGATATTTCTGGGATAATATGATACTCAATTTATGCAGTTTTTTCTCTCATAACTGGAAGTTGTCGTTTTTGTTTCTACTGGGACTGACATATTTCGAAATAACAAATAAGATGCTGTAATATAATATTAAGAAAGATTCCACAAAGAAAAGTTGAATTTTTTGATATATTTGATCACTTCATGTGACAACCGGAAGTGACTGCGGACGATGTTAACTCAAATCGATTTCTCTACTCAGCATAATCTACCATTCCTATTCCTTTGGTGTCTTAATCTCTTACCGTTTACGAAATCTAGCCATGATAACTTCTTAGTTTTAGGACAGAAAATCACGCGACCGGAAGTGAATTTTATAGAGATATTTGAGGTAACTGTAGATATATTGAATCTGAATAACATACCACAAAACCGTTACACACTTTATATATAAATAATATATATTTGAAAGAAAATACTCAAATTATGTAGTTTTTCTCTTATAACCGGAAGTTGTCGTTTTTGTTTCCGGTGGGTCTGATATATTTTGAAACTAGAAATAAGATGTTATCAGGTGATGCAATAAACTTTCCATAAAAGAAAAGTTGAAATTTTCGATTTCTTTGACTACTTCCTGTGACGACCGGAAGTGACGGCGGACAATCTTAACCCACACAGTTTTGCCTACTCATCAAGATCTACCATTTCTATAAGTTTGGTGTCTTCATCTCTTACCATTTACGAGATCTTTCTATGATAAGTTCTCATTTTGAGGACAGGAAATCACGTGACCGGAAGTGAATTTTAAAAAGATATTTGACGTTACTGTAGACATTGGCAGTCTGAATAACATATCCAAAAAATCATTTCAAATACTTTATCTATAAAAAATATTTATGGGAAAGAAAAATACTCAAATTATGTAGTTTCTCTCTTATAACCGGAAGTTGCCGTTTTTGTTTCCGGTGGAACTGACATATTTCAATACTACAAGTAAGATGCTATTATGTGATGCAAAAAAAAATTCAAAAAAGAAAAGTTGAAATTTTCGATATTTATGAACACTTCCTGTGACGACCGGAAGTGACGGCGGACAATCTTAACCCAAATGGATTTGCCTACTTATCAAGATCTATCATCCCTGTAAGTTTGGTGCCTTAATCCCTTACCGTTTCTGAGATCTCACTCGGATTAAATATTTTTGAAAAAAGCGGAAATCGGACATATCTGACGACCGGAAGTGAATTTTCAAAAAATGAAAAAAACGTCTCGGGGTATTTTCATTTTCTATCATCCCTGAAAATTTCAGGAAAATCCGTCCAGCCATCTCTGAGAAATCCTGCCGACAAGATTTGGGGAAAAAAATAATAATAAGAACTAGAAACTCTTGTTGCTACAGCAACAAAGAAGGTCTTCCGTCCTCCTCTATTAATCTGTATGCAGTATTTTTTTTTCTATTTTAAAAAAGACAGACATATAATAAACTAGTAGACTAATTGTTCAGCGAACAATTATCGGCCTTTCAACTTTTATAAGCATTTCGATATCATTTGGGCTGAAAAAAGTAGAAGAAAAGCAAGAAAAGAAATAAAACAGCAAAATTCTCATTTCTCTACTAGGATTTTAGATCGGGCTCGCAGTTGGTATAAATATACTCTAAACAGACTTCCTGGATTATTAGAGTCGACTCGGGGATAACCACGAATTCATTGATCACGCAAAGAGAGCACGTTCAAAACATTGTAACACGCTCCTAGGTGTATATATGATCTTGAATGAGATCATTTTCGAGTTAAGATGTAAGGGGTAGGGTCGGATTAAAATTACGATATACCTAATAATATGAATAACATGCATTTGATCTGCGCATCAAGACGGAAGCGTAAGTGGAAACGTTGTGAAATGTCCCATGTGTACCTGCATCATATGTGCATAATACATGTATTAAAGAGATGTTTGAAAATATTCGATTTGAGTTGTTTTATGTTTAAAATGGATGGCGATAAATTATTTCTGAGCATGTGAGAAACATGAGCGAGAGATGCAAGGCAGTTTGTAATTAAAGAAAAAGAAAACAGAGAATCGGGTTCGGATTTTAACATTCCTGACCAAAATAGGTATGGAATATGTGTGTGGATTAAATTCATTGTACGTAGCACAATAAATAAAATTCCGAACATGTATTTCTAGATGGGAAACACAGGGAAGAAACATGTATTGTTTTTTACTATGCTGAAAGTCGCTATTTCTTATAAGATTGTGTTATTCTAGAAAAAAAATCAAATTTCAAATGAAATCAAGATTCATTCAATTAATATTAAATTTAAATAAAATTGAAATAAATTCCACATACCAAAGAAAGCTAGAATACATGGTATTAAAATGTCGTATTAGAGCAGGAGAATCAAATGATATTAACAACAAATGAAGAAATAGCCAACACAAGCTTTATTTTATTTTATGCCCATCAGAATTTAAATTTCAGACAGAAAAAAATGCAGTTTTTGCCGATAATCCGTAGAATTTCATTATACTCAAGAGACTCACCGTAAAACTCTTAGGACACTTTCTTTAAGGTGTCTTCTACTCAAAATCTTAATTTTATGTCGATCTGTGGTGTCTTTTCAGAGGTAGAAGTTTTTTCTATGTTGCTATTGAGTTTTTTTAAGGGACGAGAAGTGGGGGGGGGGGGGTTATTTTGTAAACATTTGTTAAAATGAGAGTTGTTAATACCTCCACATACTTAAGCTTGATTGTGACCTTTAGGTCAATGGGGTCAAAGGTCAAGGTCATTTATCAAGATCAAAGGTCAAGGTCATCAGAGAGAGAGAGAGAAGGTGGGGAGAGAGAGAGAGAGGTAAACTTGAGATTAACACTTGAAGCTGAATCTAGATAAAGGTAATGAAGATTTCTTTATTACTTTTTGAGTAAGGGTCAAAGGTCTCATTTTTAGGACAAGAAATCACGTGACCTGAAGAAAGTAAATTTTAAAAGAAGATATTTGAGGTTACTCTAGAAATTTGCAGTCTGAATAAAATGTCCCAAAATCATTTCAAATACTTTTTTTAATTAAAGATATTTATCGGATAGTAGGAAACTCAATTTATACAGTTTTTCTCTCATAACCGGAAGTCGTCGTTTTTGTTTCCAGTGGGATTACATATCTCGAAGCTACAAGTAAGATGCTATAAGGTAATACTAAGAAAGATTCCATAAAGAAAAGTTTAAAATTTTGATTTATTTGATCACTTCCTGTGACAACCAGAAGTGACGGCGGACGATCTTAAACTCAAAGGATGTGTCTACTCATCAAGGTCTACCATCCCTATTAATTTGGGGTCTTATTCTCTTACCGTTTACGAGATCTAGCTATGATAACTTCTGATTTTGAGGACAGGAAGTCACGCGACCGGAAGTGAATTTTACTGAGATATTACACTTTTCAGTAGACATTCGCAGTCTGAATAACATATCTAAAAATCATTACAAATACTTTAATTATCAAAAAAAATTAAGGGAAAGAAAGACATTCAAATTATGTAGTTTTTCTCTTTTAACCGGAAGTTGTCATTTTTGTTTCCGTTGGGACTGATGCATTTCGAAATTTCAAATAAGATGCTATAATGTGATGCAAAACAAGTTTCAAAAAAGAAAAGTTGATTTTTACGAGTTTTTTTTTCACTTTCTATGACGACCGGAAGTGACGGCAGACAATCTTACCCCATATGGTTTTGCCTACTAATCAAGATCTATTACTCATATAAGTTTGGTGTCTTAATCTAATACTATTTTCGAGATCTAGCTATGATAACTTCCGATCTTGAGGACTGGAAATCACGCGACCGGAAGTGAATTTTACAAAGATGTTTGATTTTGCTGTAGACATTAGCAGTCTATATAACATATCTAAAAATCATAACAAATCCTTTATCTATAAAAAATATTTATTGGAAATAAAAATACTCAAATTATATAGTTTTTCTCTTATAACCGGAAGTTGTCGTTTTTGCTTCCGGTGGGACTGATATATTTCGAAACTACAAATAAGATGCTATTGTGTGATGCAAAAACAGTTTCATAAAAGAAAAGTGGCAATTTTCGATTTCTTTGATCACTTCCTGTGACGACCGGAAGTGATGGCGGACAATGTTAACCCAAGTGGATTTGCCTACTTATCAAGATCCATTACTCTAATAAGTTTGTAGTCTTCATCTCTTACTGTTTACGAGATCTTGCTATGATAACTTCTCATTTTGAAGACAGGAAATCACGCGACCGGAAGTGAAAATTGCAAAAATATTTGACATTACTGCAGACATTTGCAGTCTTAATAACATATCCAAATATCATTACAAATACTTTATCTATGAAAAATATTTATAGGAAAGAAAAATACTGAAAATATGCAGTTTTTCTCTTAAAACCGGAAGTTGTCGTTTTAGTTTCCAGTCGGACTGATATATTTCAAATATGAAAATAAGAAGTTATAATGTGACGCAAAAAAAGTTTCATGAAAGAAAAGTTAAAAATTTTGATTTTTTGGATCACTTCCTGTGACGACCGGAAGTGACGGCTGACACTCTTATCCCAACTGAATTTGCCTACTTATCAAGATCTATCACTTATATAAGTTTGGTGTCTTAATCTCTTACCGTTTTCGAGATATAGCTGTGATAACTTTTCATTTTGAGGACAAGAAATCACGCGACCGGAAGTGAATTTTATAATGATATTTGACGTTACTGTAGTCATTTATAGTCTGAATAACATATCCAAAAATCATTATAAATACTTTATCGATAAGAAATATTTATGGGAAAGAAAAATACTGAAAATATGTAGTTTTTCTCTTATAACCGGAAGTTGTCGTTTTTGTTTCCGGTGGGACTGACATATTTCGAAACTACGAATAAGATGCTATAATGTGATGCAAAAAAGTTTCAAAAAAGAAAAAGTTGAAATTTCCGATTTCTTTGATCACTTCCTGTGACGACCGGAAGTGACGGCGGACACTCTTACCCCGATTGGTTTTGCCTACTTATCAAGATCTATTAATCATATAAGTTTGGTGTCTTAATCTCTTGCCGTTTCTGAGATATGACTCGGACAAAACTTTTTTGAAAAAAGCGGAAATCGGACATATCTGACGACCGGAAGTGACTTTTGAAAAACTGAAAACTGCATCTGAAAGATATTTTCACTCTCCATCATCCCTGAAAATTTCATGAGAATCCGTCCAGTCATCTCTGAGAAATCGTCAAAACAAAAAGGCAAAATAATAATAATAATAATAATAATAACTAGAAACTCTTGTTGCTACAGCAACAAAGGTCTTCCGTTCTCCTCTATTAATCTGCAAGAATGAGTTTTTATCTATGTTAAAAAAGGCACAGAATATTTAAAATGATTTAAAGAAACAAACGGCCGGAGGTATAATTTACCAAGTTCCTTTACTTTATTTTAGACAATTATAGTCTTAATAACATGTACAAAAATCAATTGGCCAATCTTCATGGTTTATTATTCATATAAGTTTAGTGTCTTGATCTGTTACAGTTTAAAAGATATCGTTATATTATCTTCTCATTTTGAGGGCAAGAAATCACGTGACCGGAAGTAAATTTTTGAAAAGAATATTTGAGGTAACTCTTAACATTTCAGTCTGAATAACATGTCCTAAAATCATTTCAACTGCTCTTTTTATAAAAAAAAAATATTTAAGAGATAGTATGATACTAAATTTATGCAGTGTTTCTTTCATAACCGGAAGTTGTTGTTTTTATTTCCAGTGGGACTAACATATTTCAAAACTAGAAATAAGATGATATAATGTCTTACTAAGAAAGATTCAATAAGAAAAGTTGATTTTTTTATTTATTTGTTCACTTCCTGTGACAACCGGAAGTGATGGCGTACAATGTTAATCGAAATGGATTTGCCTACTCATCAAGATCTATCACTCCTATAAGTTTGGTGTCTTAATCTCTCACCGTTTATGAGATCTAGCAATGATAACTTCTCATTTTGAATACAAGACCGGAAGTGAATTTTACAAAGATATTTGATGTTATTGTAGACACGTACAGTCTGAATAAAATATCTAAAAATCCTGACAAATACTTTATCAATAAGAAATATTCATAGGAAAGAAAAATACTCAAATTATGTAGTTTTTCTCTTTTAACCGGAAGATGTCGTTATTTGTTTCCGGTGGTACTGAAACATTTGAAAACTACAAATAAGATGCTATAATGTGATGCAAAAACAGTTTCATAAACAAAAAGTAGAAAATTTTGATTTTTTGGATCACTTCCTGTGACGACCGGAAGTGACGGCTGACGATCTTAGCACCACTGCTTTTGCCTACTCCTCAAGATCTATAAATCCTATAAGTTTTGTTTCTTAATCTTTTACCGTTTACGAGATCTAGCTATGATAACTTCTCATTTTGAGGACAGGAAATCATGTGACCGGAAGTGAATTTTACAAAGATATTTGACGTTACTGTAGACATTTGCAATCTGAATAACATATCAAAAAATGATTAAAAGTACTTCATCCATAAAAAATATTTATGGGAAAGAAAAATACTGAAAATGTGCAGTTTTTCTCTTATAACCGGAAGTTGTCGTTTTTGTTTCCGGTGGGACTGACATATTTCGAAAGTACAAATAAGATGCTTTTATGTGATGTAAAAAGTTTCAAAAAAGAAAAAGTTGAAAATTTCGATTTCTTTGATCACTTCCTGTGACGACCGGAAGTGACGGCGGACAATGTTAACCCAATTGGTTTTGCCTACTTATCAAGATCTATTACTTATATAAATTTGGTGTCTTAATCTCTGACCGTTTCTTAGATATGACTCGGACAAAACTTTTTTGAAAAAAGCGGAAATCGGACATATCTGACGACCGGAAGTAAATTTTAAAAAACTGAAAACTGTATTTGAAAGATATTTTTACTCTCTATCATCTCTGAAAATTTCGAGAGAATCCGTCCAGTCATCTCTGAGAAATCGTCAAAAAACGAAAAGGGAAAAAAAAATAATAATAATAATAAGAAACAGTAGAATCACTATAAGGTCTTCCGTCTGAAACGGAAGACCTTAATAAAAAGAAAAAACAGTAGAATCTCTATAAGGTCTTCCGTCTGAAACGGAAGACCTTAATAAGAAAAAACAGTAGAATCACTATAAGGTCTTCCGTCTGAAACGGAAGACCTTAAATATAGCGATTTGGTTTCCTTTCAAATGAATACTATTTTCTACAACCCTTCTTTTAAAACATGAACTTTGACTATCAATACCTAGTATAAAATGATTTTTGTGTGACATTTGTTCTAATATGATGAAATACAGCAATTTAATTTATAAGTCTTTTTGCATTTAAGGCTTAGAAATTTAATTCTTGATAAAGGGAGGGTTACCCAGTGTACATCAAGTTCACCGTCAGGCATAATATATAATGCAGAACACTTCATTTGTCCCCACTGCTTTATACATGCTGGAGTGGTAGAATGTTCAGGCAGAGGTTCCAGCTTTCTTTTGTCCAGTTTACACAGTTTGTAAGTGGATGTTCCAAGCAAGGGGTATTTCCTCCTTATAAACTGGTCCATCTCGTCTTTGGTCCAATCTAAAGATAGTTTCTCTTTGCATCTTGTGGAGCCTTGGTAAAAATGAATAATTTCAAACCTCTAATTTTTTTTAATTTTATTTTTATAAATAGTATACACTAACAATGGTTTCATTGACAAATAATACCCAATAAAATATTTAAGATTCATATAAGACAGCTAGACAGACGGACGCCGGACAAAATGTGATCAGAAAAGCTCTATATGGCAATGTGGCAACGCCCTTTCAAACAATTACGCACTTTGAATTTTTTTAAAGTGCGTTTTTGGGACATTCTCAACGCATTTAAAAAAAAATTTCAAAGTGTGTTAAGACTGTACATAAAAAATTTTACCATAGGGACATATAACGAACTTTGAAAAAAAATGTATAGGACAAAAATTCTATACTTAGATTTTAGTAATTGAGAAAATGAATTTGTAATACACAGTAATTATATATTTCGAAAAACTTTTTAATTTGCATGTATTGTTTTAACACCAATGAGAACTAGGAGAAGACGAGTAGAATTATTGCTTCTCAGCCCAACTCTTTTTCTTTTACATTACCGTCGGTATCAAATTGAAAGTGGACCCCCCCAGCCCAGGTAGTCCCCAATTTTCAATGCTCATTTTATGTATATTTTTGACATTTTTGTGTCTAGCCCCCCTCACCCTCATCACGGTACCGATACATATGCTACTCCCAAATATATGCATTCCATCTACTGGTACATTTATAAACAGGTTACTTTTAAAAACTTACCATGACCAACTTTGTTCAGCTTTGCTATTTCCACACCCGAAATATACACCCCTGGTTTCTGTAAGCAGCAAAGGCGCATGCGTAGATCATTCGTGGGTCTACCCCTCTTTCTTAGTCTAGATCTATTCCCTCGACTTTGTCTACCCTGGTTTCTAAACAAACTGAATCTGAAATTAATTATGTACCGGTATTATATAATATTCTTTTTGTCCAGAATTATAAATCAATCATTAGAAAAAAATAGGAATTTAAACAAATTAAGCTTAAATAATGTTCTGTTATGGCAATCTTACATAAATACATGTACTAGTAGAAAGCTTTTCACTGTGTTACACAAGTATATGACTATATATCAGTATTTATTAAAATGTACTTGCCCCATGACTGCCCTTGATTGATCAATAAACTGCTGAGTAATTGAATATCACTGGATATTTAGCATTTTAATTTTGTTAAAAAAATAATGAATTATTCTTATTTGTGGCGTCATTACTTCACTAAATTTATAATTATAAATAGTATTATTGATCTAATTACACGTTTATATATATACATGATATATGGCAAATAGATGGAAAGATTTCAGTTTAGGTTCACCCCCCCCCCCCTCCCCCTCTAATTAAGTTATGGATTTGCCCCTATATGCGAAGTACTTGATATCCGTACCTTTGTACGATCGATGGATTTCCGGCGCTGTCCTGGTCCGGAGAACTAGTGGTGATCTGAGAGATAGATCTGGCGATCCTTGCCCCTCTCCTCTGCAATCTTCGGACGATATGAGCCCTGTCATGCAGTCTCGAAATCTCAGGCAAAAAGTCATCCGTATCTGAACCATCCATATTTTCCATTTGACGCGTATTATATACCGGTATATATATTACAAAAATCGTAACTTTTGCAAATGATATATTTTTTCCTATGCAGAATGCTATAACAGAACAGGTCCAAAACAGAGTGGAAGTATAACTGACTCAATTCAATTAAATTCGATGCATTGAGTCAATAAAACAATTTTAGAGAGTTGAAATGTCAATCTCAATCAACATTAATTTATAGAGCAGGAAATGACAAAAATAAGCAAATCCCATTCAAAGGTATACCAGTGTAAGATCTGGCTATAAAATTTGATAACAGCCATCGGCAAATGACATCGATATCGTGAGACTGAGGAGAGAGATGTCAGATGACGAAGCATTACAAACACGTGCAAAAATTGCCCCTAGAGGTCAAATAATTTAAAAACAATTAATTTCCACAAATGTGAAGATCTAGCCCTAAACTGATTTCTATTTTGTACTAGCTAACAATTTTTGAAAACTTAAATAGAAAGTACCTAATATGAATTGATTTACTTGGCAGTTTGGATATTGAGTTAATTAAAAACCCAAAGTTATGATATCAAAAGATGCGGAACTGTCTTCTATATGTTTATCATGAAACTTTTTCATATCATTCAGTCTATAATTTCACGAGAAAAACTTCTTAAATTATATACATATTGCTGCTACTGTTGGCACAGCCAAATATTTTAAGTTGGGGACACTATCAATTACCAGAAATTCCTTGACAAGCGGAAAAAGGCATAAGAAGTTTAATTAATTGATCTCTCCTATATAGTATCACTACATGTTTTCTATACTCTTAATATGTTTTTTAAAGATTATATTGTATACTGTATATCGGCAAATCCGTACAGTATAGTCCATTTGCAGTTATATTCCCTGTCTTAGGTGTAGGAAGCACATTGAAAGTCTATGTATATCATGTCATGTGTAAACAGTCTGGGGAATTTTCCCCGTTGAGCTATGAGTCACCAAATATCTAACATGGACTGTGATTGGTTGATTTTCACTTGAGTAAAAATATTTAATTGTGAGTAGAAATGGCCAGTGTCATATTTTTACTGCAGTAAAAATATTTTTACTGTAGTAAAATTAATTAATTGTGAGTTAAATGGCCACATTGTATTTTTACTCCAGTAGAGAAGTAAATTATTTTTACTGGAGTAAAAATAATTTTATTATTTTTACTGGAGTAAAAATAATTTTACTGGAGTAAAAATATTTAATTGTGAGTAGCATTGGCCAGTGTTTTATTTTAACTGCAGTAAAAATAATTTTAGTGGAGTAAAAATAAATAATTGTGAGTAGAACGGCCAACCATAGACGATTCTATTTACGGAAATACGACAGTCATGATCACGTTACGAAATTCATTTCTACAGCACTGCAATCTCGGAATGATGGTTTTCTGTCACGCATGTCAATATTATCAATCTTGTTTAAAGTCATCATTTCGTAAGAGCTATGGTCTATACGGTGATTATGTCAGCAATTATAATCAATCGAAAATTCAAATGCTGACATACATTTGTCATATTTAAAACCATTATTTACACACCGAATTTTTTTTATTTCCCGATCGTAACAAGGGGCACACGGCGGATGTTACCGGTCGGCAGGTGATTCTCAATCCTCCATGGCACCCGATCCCACCTCTGACGTTTCGGAGGTCCAAGTTTGCTCTGCTCCTATTTTGTATTGTTTGAATGGACATTTGAGTTTGAATAATGTTTGTTATTTCCATATGTTTCATGATAAGAGAAGATATCTAATCAAACAAAGAGAAACTAAATAAATAAATTGTTTTCACGGTCTATGAATTTTTGGTACAATCCCCGGATTTAAAATGATCTATCATTAATTTAAGCATGATTCACAGTGCTTACATTCTTGAAGAAATCATTACCTAGAACATGTTTGCGGTGTTGCAATTAATTAAAAACATACTTCAAAATAACGTTCTTATAATGAATAGAATGTTTTGATGTTATATTTCTTTGTGTGTCGTGAATACTTACAATTGAATCTTAAATCTAATAAATATAAACTTCTAATGTTTCAGAAAAGAAGATTAAATTTAAAATAAATAAAATTATGATAGCCTAAAAAAATAATCCATGATATGGTCTCCAAAGCTAAAACACTTTTCATTTTAGAGCATTTATGTCGCATGTAAATTTATTGAGACCTTTGACATCATGAACTTGACATTTATTTATATCTCTAAACGGCTACAATATCGGGACACTTGGTCTGTGGGCTACAGAAAAGGAATGCGAATGATTAGCCGAATACCACTTTTATCTCTTGTTGTCGCCACATTTTCAGGTAAATTAATGTACATGTAATTGAGAAAAAGCATTATGAATTTTTGAAAGACGTTCCCTATATTTCAGAATTAATGAATGGGAACATGCTAAAGAGTTGACAATGATAATGTTTTGAATTGTTCTGGTTCCAAAAAAAATTTTCCTTTTTCTATTTTTTTTTTTCTTAAGTAATTTTTGTAAGAGGGGACCTATGTACAAGTAGTTTTTGTGTGAAATTTTCAAAACTTTGTCATTTCTTTTCTTGTCACATGCTTTTAAATTTAAAGCATTAAAACAATTACTTATATGCTATTTTCTTTTTTACACGAGCATGTGCGAATTTCTATTAAAAAATTATTATTTTACAATATTTTTCGTTAAAAATGCGCGAAAAAGAACCAAAAAATTACAAATTATATTCAGAATCAAGATGTATTTAAAGTATTTGTCATATATCTTAAAAAATGAAAGCATATTCATTGTAATTTATCTTACGTGAAAAATTATAAAGGAACACAATGTACATGTAAGCATCGTCCCATTTTTTACTGCCGTATTTGTAACAATTCCGTCATATAATTAGGTAATACTTAAAAAGACTTCGTGTGAAAGTGTTGTAATTCATGGAATTCTTTTTAGAATATTAACATTTGCAAAATTAATATCAGCCTCTATATAACACTACTGAAAGCAATGTGTATCTATAACCGTAAAAATATAAGTTTCTTAAGACGTCATAAACATTGATGCGATTTCTCAGTAGCATCATAAAGGGTCGACGCGCATTCTATGAATGCAAGATATGGTGATAACGAACAGTATTGTATCTCAAACTCGATCACAAAACAATACAAATTAGGAACAGAGCAAAGGCAGACCTCCGAAACATCAGGGGTTCAGCAGGTGCAATTGAGGAGTGAACATCCCTTGCTGACCTGTCACACCCGCCATGTGCCCCTTGTCATGATCGGGAAATAACGGAAAAATCCGTCGTCAATTCAGTGTAAAAATAATTGACTAACAATTTGTATGAAAAACGTTCGTCAGCACACTTCGGATGTGACCGGTAATTATGGGATGCTAAATCCGCCATGACACTTTATTCCACCTCTGATGTTTCAGAGATCCATGTTTGCTTAGTTCCTATTTTGTATTGTATTATGGACTTTGAGATTGAATACTGTTATCTCCATATACATTGTAGTTCGCATATCAACCAAATCTATAAATAAAAAAAAACAATTATTAATGATGTGTATATATGTTTTTTTTAAATTGTGTACATAATTGATTAATATGTTGACGGTGCGACCGTTATGGAGAGATATTTATTTTGTTATATATAATAATAATTTAGATCGGGCTCGGCAAACTGCACGTGACATTTCGTGCGTCTAGTCTCTGACGTCATATGACGTCGTATGTAAGTTACCTTTCCAAAAAAAAAAGAACAGTGATGAAAGAAAATAAAGAACGTTTTGTTTACTATTTATTTTCAATATTTATCCAATTCATCTGGGCATGTTTACTTTTAAATGAACTTTTGCTGCTTTTTTCGAGAGCTTAAACAAGTGATGCATTTTGGGTCCAAATTACTGCGTCAAAAAATTCTATCGAATGAATTTGCAGTAGTCTGAATTTTCTCTTCGCACAGGCGTTGCTTAAAGAGCTCGCAGTGAAGAGTGTTGCTAATTTGCGACGCTCGCTGTTATCCATGTAAAGCCTATATCACAGTTGTAAAAGTCAACAGGTATGAAATATGTCTCTATTGAAACGTCAAATAACGCTGCTCTGACGCAGACCAACGTGGGTCCTCCTAGAACACGGTTAAACACTCCTTGTTGATTTTAAGGGATTGACTATGTTGGGGCCGACTGTCCAAACAACTGGAGAGGATATTCAGGAAATTGTTATCTCTTCCTCACTCACCTTCCAATGAACTGGCAAAGTGCGTGGGTAAGTCCCCCTCATTATAATAATGACTTTTCAAAGTATCGAAAATGCCGTGATATTTTATTGATTTGCTTTGGATATTTAAAGCATGTATTTGATTTCATCATTTGCTGCAATAAAAGTTTACTTCCCTTAGGTTACTCTGAAGAATGATTTTATATCCAAAACACTACTCGGCAGCTTTTGAAAACATATTCCTTTTTAAATCTATATTTGTCAAGATTAAGATAAATGCATTCAATTGCATGTAAAACAATACATGTGCGTACTGAGTTAATGATATGCCTTTACTTAAAACAGGACTACTGTGCGCACATGGGTGCAAAGTTAGTAGAAATTGAAACTTTTGCTGAGGACAATTTTATCAAACAAAACGCAAAGGATTTTCATTTTCATGGTAAGTGTATGTTAACAATTAAAATAAGTTTCAGAGCAAGCTTTCTGATGTTTACCAAAACATCCATGGGACACAAATGACTGTATGGACAATAATCATAAATAAAATTGATAAAATATCACCAGCATATTCCTTATATACACCCAGAAATCCTGTTGTAAAAATCGTCCAAGGACAATTTGCGTCTTTAACTTTATTAACAATTTTAATAAAACTCAAACACAGGCCTTGATTTTACTGGTCATTGCTTCATAAACTTTGAATTTGTTAACGAAGCACGATTTGATGAATCTTGGTTGCAACTATAGTGATATATAGTAAATCCATCTTTCAAATCAAGTAATTTTTTTTTCAAAGAATTGAATTGCTATGAACTTAAAGGCAGAGATTTTTTACCGGGTGGTAAATTACAGGTGAGGGATGGGCTTATTTTGTACAGGTGTGAATGCTTTGGGGGCTAGCAGTCTACCTGTGGTCATCTGTCGTCTATACATATACACAGGAAGTGATTTAATACACAGTGAAATACCCCAGGTGTCAAACTTTACCTGTGTTGGGGATTTTGATACATTTTAAAATTAGAAGTAAAAAGGTTTTATCAATTTTTATTGATTTTTTTTTACTGTTTTAAAACACTCTTACCTATTTAAGAAAAATATTATGATATCATACCATAAATTCAAATATTAAAACATTTAAAGATTGTTGTAGATGTTATTGTATGTGTTAATTTAAAGAAAACAACTCCTGTAACAACCAAATTAGACATAATGCATTCATCCCCAGGACCCCATCTATTAATTAAATGGAAAGAGAGCTGTGTGAATTACCTTTAACACAAAATATCTTCAGTGTATATGTTTATTTTAACCATGATAAGGCTTTGTCACAATGAAACATGCTTGTAAATTCTCATTTGAATAAAAAGGAAAATATAAGTGACCCATGATTAGAAACATTATTTTTTAAATTTAATTACTTTACACAGTGCTACTCTGAATTTTATCAATAACATTTCCACTTCACCATTAAACATATTAAATCGAAATTTCATTTGAAAAAAAAAAGTTTTTGTACTAAAGTTTAATTTTTTGACTTTAAAAATGCATATTATATTATTATCTTTTCAAATACTAAAGGAATATTTAATTCATATATTATCAATCTATAAAATTTCATTGTAATACAGTAATTCTGTATACCATGTTCAGTAAACATCAAAGGATCAAAAGTTAATTAGAAGGTGACCATGAGTCCCGATCAAGGTGTACAGGGTATACACAGGGACCAGTAAGTAACTGTCAATCAAGTTCAAGCATCCAATGTTAGACCTTCACCCACTTGATTGACAGGGCTACCCAGACCAGGTATTTTTGAAGGCGGTGCTTAAAATCTCTGCCTTTAATGAAATCAGAATAACGCTGCAAGATCATTTCGAAATTCTACAAGACGATTGTGAGATAAGTTTTAAAAAACGTCGTAGGTGTATCTAGGGTATGTTTACAAATATCTAGATTACATATATACTGTTTACTATATATCTCTGAGATGGCTTGTAAGATGGATACGATTTTAATCTGATTTTTTTTAAAAAAGCATTTAAGCTCAAAGACATAAAGGATAAAAAAAAAGAATATAATATAACATCATTTATGTTTTTAATTTCATTTTGGCATAGACTGTTTTTGGTTGGGTGGATCTGATGCAGTGCTCCCAGGTGTTTGGATTTGGGCCACATCACGTTCACACTTGCTATATACCAACTGGGGACCAGGAGAGCCAAATCACATTCATTCCGATAATGAACACTGTCTGAATCTGTATTATTTCACCGGATATAATACGTACTTCTGGAATGATGATGTCTGTGACTATCATTGCCATCCTATCTGTGAACAACCGTATGAAAAAAAAAATTCTTATTTCCATATTTATCATTACATAATTTGGTCTGATTTTTTTTAAGAAAAAAAAATGCGTTTCTTTTTGGTTTCAATTGGTAATACGTACAGTCATACCATGCCCAGTCGGTAGATTCGGTAAAGCACTCGCATTTTGATCGGGGGGTCGTTGGTTCGAATCCCGGCAACGAATGGCCTAAGTCGCTGAAGTTAAGGAAGCAACTGTTTATTCACCAAGCACTCGGTATTTTGAAGTGAGTTTTGAGTCCTTCGGGGGAGACCTTAAAAACTGAGGCCCCGAGTCACATTAATATCATTTACTGCTCAATGATTCTGAGTGCTGAGTAAAGGTCTAAGTTGACGCCTTTTACCGGTACATGCACATGGTAACGTCTCTATATGAATGAAACGTCTTACATAAGACGTAAAACAACACACATTAATAATTCATATGATAATCATTCATACTATTATCATGTTAATGTTAAATTATATTTATTGGAAAATTCACGTTTTTTAAAAAGAGTGTATTAGACATTATGGTACCATGTTTATCGGAAAAAGCTCAGTCTGTAGTTATAGAATTTAATTATTACTTTGTTATCATAAAAGAGGCTTGCATTTGAAAATATGTTTTTTTTCTTTTTTTTTCTTTAGGAGTATCCCTGGGGGTTCAATATTTGGAAGAAGATAGAGGATGCGTATTATACGATGCACTTTCCCAGAAGTTATGAATTTAATCAGTATTTATAAATAAACACATTAAATTCAACGATTCTATCAGTAATTTAATTATCATGTACTACCGAACAAAATCATTCCATCTGTATAAATAATATAATACTAGGTACATGTGTATTTGACTGAGTGTTGGAATAATTTTGTTGCATTCTATTGTCAAGACTGGTAGAGGAAATGTCAACCAAGCTTCGTTGAGGAATGTTGTTGAAGATTTACTTGATGAAAAACACTATCATGTTCAATTCTAAATATTTTCATTTTCAAGTATTTTTTAGAAAGTTAAAAAAGTCATTTTAGCCTACTTATTACGTTTCCCAAAACCAACATAAAAAACTTTTCTTTGACAATAGACCCCCTTTCTACGACCGATTTTGCGTTATTCTCCAAAGCCATCACCTTGTAGGGCAGAGTAGAGTAGTGAATCTATACATGCAAGAAATTCTGTGGATTAATCAATTTTTGTTGTCATCAATTTTCGTGGATTTTATATAAAAAGACGTTATCGAGAATAAGTAATTTCGTGGACAAAAGCATTGCCTATACAAATAAATAGCATATTTCTTAATTTAACGAACATTTAACTTCGTGGATCTGTTCAACAACGATATCCTCGAAAATTGGTGCTCAACGAATATTAATGAAACCACAGTATATGGGGAAAATATTTATAATCCTATAATCCTGAATTGATAGAGAATTTAACAAACGTATATTCATAAGAAATAAAGTGTTATCTTTACCTCGGTAACAAGTATTACAAATTGAACTTGGTTGAATATAAAACAGATCTGAAAATGTTGCCCTACAATATGGCGGCTAAGTGGAATAACGCCTAGGTAAATTTATGTCATAGAAAAAGAGTCTATTCCATGAAGGGTATGGAGATAATGAACAGTATTTAATCTCAAAGTCCATAAAACAATACAAAATAAGAGCAGAGGGAACACTGACTCCCGAAACATCAGAGGTGGGATCAGGTGCCATGGAGGAGTGAGCATCCCCTGCCGACCGGTCACACCCGCCGTGTGCTCCTTGTCATGATCAGTAAAGTACGGAAAAAATCTGTCGTCAATTCAGTGTATAAATAATGGAATAACAATTGGCATGAAAATCGTCAGTCAGCATTTGATACAATGATAAATTGTATTTACTGACAAGGTCATTGTGTCGACCATAAAACTTACGAAATGATGACTTTAATCGAGACTGCTGATATTCCTGTTTCATCAACTTGCTTGTCAATAATTTACCTCGTTTTAGAAATTGTTCATACGTAGAGCATGCTCTTGCGTATCCAATCAACTGAGATATATATATACTCCGTATGCTAGTGATGAAGGTATATTGCTGCATAAGTAAGGAAAGTTGACGATATAAAAATTAAAGTCATCACGTTTATCATATAGCTTGGTTGTTAGATCACCATAAGTGTCTTTTTCAAGTAAAATATCGAAGTATGAAGCAGAAGTGTCAGACTCTGTGGTATCTTTTATCTCAAGCTCACCAGGATATATCGTATCGACGTAGGAAAGGAAATTATCATTATTAATTGACAATACGTCGTCGATATATCTAAATGTCGAGTTGAAGGCCACAACAAGTGTTTTCTTCTTTTCACGCATAAGATTTTGCATAAATTCTGCTTCATATAAATATAAAAATAAGTCTGTTTATAACGGAGCGCAATTTGTACCCATGGGAATTCCAATAGATTGTTGGAATACCTGGTCTCCAAAAACCAAATAGATATTGTCAATCAGAAACTCAAGTATCTTTTTGATGTGAACTTCAGAGTACTTATATGTGCAATCAAAATCTTTTTTAGCAAAACAATTTTGCAAATAACCAATGACGAGGTTAGTAAATTTACGATTTCCATTTTTATTGAAGAAGCAGCTGTCAATGATATCAAAAAGCATCGACTTTAATTTGTCGTTGGGAATTGTTGTGTATAAAGTTGAAAAGTCATAAGTTTTTAAGCTATTGATTTTTGTAAAGTCTTGTGATTTCAATTTGTCCAAAAGTTCCCTAGAATTTTTTAGCATTCACATCTGATTCACACCACTTCTTGAATATATATATATATATATAGTTGCACAGTACTCTTGAAGTTTTTCCTTCACTACTGTCAATATTGTAGTGAGGAGTAACGAAAGAGTCTTGGTTGCACATTTACTGGAACCTGCAATGTATCTTTGTAAGGATTCTTATGACGTTTCGGAATCCAATATATATACATGTAAGTTAGTTCAAATTAATTTTGACTCTGTGGAATATTAAAAGTATTCAAAACTGACAGGTGATTTTGAAGAATTATTTCCTTAAAAAGGGAAGTATGGGCATAAGTAGGATTATCACTTGTAGAATTAAATCCAAGTTCTTCTAGAATGCAATTTATATAATGAGCCTTACAAACGAAGACAATGTTGTTACCTGCTTTGTCGGCAGGAACCAGTACGTACTGATCGTTTAATCTAATTTTTTTTTACTTCTGGTTTATTCAACACAGAAGGATTGTTTTTTGTGACTTCAAAAATGCTTTCGTCAAGTCCGACGATTTGAGTCTTTCATTAAGGATGTGTGAAACTGACGATTTTACGAGGGTTGATCCAAAAGTAATGTCACAACTTCGATAAAATTGCTTCTAGTCAACGTAAATTAACAAAATTATACATGGTGGTAGCTACATTTATTTCAAATCAATTCTGAAAAATTCAAATTGAAATGATTTATACTTTTCAAAATATCGAATTATATACAAAGTGCAGATATGGTAGTCACCGCACCCCAATAACGTCATATGACGGATATGCGCCGTCACAAAGTTTTAAAAACGCTTCCCCAACGTTTCATTAAGAAATTGATATTCAAAAACACATTCACACATTTTAATTTCTTTAAGAATCATTGTCATCAATAGCACACACTATCAGTAATTTAGTCGTTCATCAAAATTCTTTGAACAGTACAATAAGACAAACTTAAAAGTTTTTCATACAATGTATCACTCAAACCGCGTGACACGAATCTCTGTTTTTGACAACGTTGACACCATTGAACGTTTCTACTCGACCTCGTACCTTTCGGTCTTTCTGTCCTCATCTGATCAATCAATTACCCATTACCCGCCCAAAATTAATCTCTGACACAATCTATGATCAAGTCTAGTGTTAACATTATTTTCTCTGCGAGTCTGATTAACCATTGTATCTGATTCTACTGGCGATTTCCCACTTTTTAAGTAAAAACGCATTAAAACTTATTTCGGGGTTTTATTCAATTTCGACATTTCCTTTGTGTTTGTCTTTTTTTTATTCTAACAATATACACTTTAAAACGTGACGTTTAGTTTTGACGCGTCGGCACCCCCTATGTTTAATGTTTTAAACGTCTATACAATGAATGCAATAAAACATTTTTAAATGAAACTTTCAAGTTTGATTAGATTTCTTTTTCTGCATCTTTTGGTGCATGATATTTGATAATGTGACGCCTAATATAAAAATATGGACACAGTGACATTCCTTTTGGATCAACCCTCGTAAATCCACTGCGCAACTCCAACTGTCGAAAATGGACCAATGTTGTCAATATAATTAGAACATATGCTGTTGCCATAACATAACAAGGAGGCTAAGACTTCTGCAGACCCCCCTCCCCCTATAATAATCCTAGCTTACACTAAAGTAATTTTTCTTCCAAAGTTACACTTATGTACTATTAAAATTTATACATGTATTTATTTTCAAGATTATTTTTATCTTTTAGAATAAACATTACAGAGAAGTAGTGAATTCTTTATTGAACATCTGTAATTTAGTACACAGAGTGGCTTAAGGAATTATCCAATTATCTGGGTTCCCTCTCCTGGATTTCTATGGAAAAGAATTAAGAAGAAGACTTATATACTGCACTCAAATTCATTGAATTTTGTGTCTAATATACTTACAAACCAGTTTTATCTGACTCTGATCTTCGTGTGTGTCCCCGTTACAGTTCAAACAAACATGATTTTATTATATATGAGAATGCAGCTCTAAGAAGTTTATTAATAATTCTCCTGTTCTTTTTGAGAAATTAATCACCTCTTCATATTCAACGGTTATGCTTTGATTCTTATCGTGAGATTCCCTTTGCCGTTGGAACATGAATTGGTTTTTGATTCAGGCCTCTGTTTTGATGTGTAAAAAAAATCTCAATCTGTAGTAATTTTTACGTGTATTATGGTCCTTCTTTTTTATGACAAACAATTGAATATCTTATTCATACATATTTTTAAAAAAATCTGATCAACATTACAGACCTTGTTCTGCAATTACTGAAAATAACTTTTATTTCATTATTGTGAGTAATTAGCCGCGTAAGTTGATCTAGAAAAGAAAAATTGAAAGAAATTGTTTACATTGTAAAGATTTTACAAAAATGGTATCCCCTAATTTATACATTTACCCCAAAAGGCCAAGATCTAATTAAACTTTAGTATGCATCAATGTAGGTTTCTTCAATTTTACTATATGCTTAACTATGGCGAAAAACCACAATATCTTCATAAAGGTCTTAATTTTCAGTTTTTGTCTCATCGTTCTTGTATTAGACAGGTTTTAGAATTCTATATTGGCCCCAAATATGTACACGGGACATGGATTAAACATTTGTCGAAATGCACTTTTTAAGGTACCGTAGTTTGATTTTTATTAAGGAAATGTCCACGTTTAAAGATATAATATTTACATTCAGTGTAATTTTCCTTATGAAATGCAATAGAAATCTGCGACGTTTAAATTTCTATAACACACGCAAAACTTGTCACAGCGCTCAGAATACACAGCAGGAACTACCAGTAGCATTTTCAATACTCTAGGGACATCAAAATCTAAAATGTTTGATTTCAATTTAATGAAAAACAATAACCCTGAAAAATAAATGTAAAAATTAAATTAATGTGCGTCAAGATTTAATTTGTTACTTTTTCCCTCGCAATGTTAGTTTAGGTCAT